TCTCAACTTTTTATTAAACTTTTATAGAAAAAGTTATAATTTTAGGTCCTTAGAGAGGCCAAATTGTATATTTTGCATCTAGCCCAGACAAGCCACAAGCAAAGAAAGAGAGACTAACGAGAGCTCTACGGAATGCAAAACAAGCCAAATCAAAGAAAAAAAAGGTCGGGCACTACCGAGTCAACAACGTATCCCGAAAAGCAAAGAGGCGGCTAGACACCGCACATACATACCTGGACATAATGTTATACATCAAAGATAAATTAGAATTATGGTACGGGACATGAGCCTGCAAAACTCATGCCCATACCTTATTTCTGACACAGACTTCAAGTCTAGTGATTCAATAAAGTACATGATAAAATTCTAAAAAGAAAGACTTGACCTGCAAAACAACAAGATTAGTACAGGCTATAGCATGCAACATGTCTGCAGCAAATATGTTAGTTTTAATGATTAAGCTCTTCCCTGATAAATGTGAAACCCTGCAAGAAGATTGCCCCTATATATGTTAGTCTGCAAGTCTCAAACTCCAGTAAACACACAAAGCATTAAGCAAAGGATGCCTGGTTAGGGTACAAACTAGCAGAGAATAATAAACATGACACCAAAAAAACTACCTACCATCCAAACCCTAGCCTCATAAACCATCTAAGCACAAAGGGTCCTAATCATAGTATCTAAGTGTTTGCAAAGTGTGGGTAAAACATACATGCTGATCACATGCATTAACTTGCATTACTTGTCGAGTTGTCCTCGCGAGCAATGCATATTAACACATCGTGACCAACGACGGGTTACTCAACTAAATAGTACAATTTATCATCGAGACGATTGAGGAACGCACATGCAAACACAAAGTAATCTAGTGCATTGTGACCATTCTATCAGGTTAGAAGTGATCACTAGATAACAAATATTCATCACAGGTATATAGTGACATATACTAGTGATGAATATGTCGAGAGTGCAAAGATGCAAATGCTCAATCACAAACATAGGCAAACACATGCTCAATGCAAAATGACGTGCTCCTAGTAGTGTGGGGTGCTACGTGGAGAAATGGTAATATGACTTGTGCTCCAAACAAAAAAAAGTGTGATCTAGGCAAGGTGAGAATCAAATACTCAAGTGAAAGCGCATCATAAAATAGGTGGGTTCAGAGACTATAAGGCGTGACCCGTGCTTAGTGACACAATGTGAAGTTACAAACAACGTGCACTGGATAGGTTCGGAGGCTAATGAAGCGTGACGTATGCCAAGTGGCACGATGAGGGAAACAAAGTGCACTAGATAGGCTCAAGGGCTATAAAACATGACCTACGCTAGGTGACAAGATGATATGTATAGGTGCACAAACAGTATGCACTTGATGAGTTCAAGGGCTAAGGTGCTTGACACATACCCAGTGGCATAGTGTGGCATACCTACGACATTTTGATATGGTGTTGTGTCGTAGGAAATGAGGTGGCAAAATTCTCGTTAGGGAGAATAATGCACGGGGTAGGCTTAATGTGCAAGCAATCCCCGAAGAAGACACATGATTGTAGTGAGTTTGTGAGAACGCAAACACAAGTGAAGACCTCAAATGTGCAACATACGAGCAGAAATGATGTTATGCAGAAGGACATGCAAGTGTGAAAAAGTGTATGTGCAAACACCTGTGATGTGGTATGAAGTGACATAAGGATGCCACAAAGCAAATGAATATAGTAATGTTCCCATGGGAGGCACAAATAATTGTCATGAGCATATGATGACATATGCTCACAAGTGCATGACAAGATACAAGTGTGATGTGCTAATGCGGGCAATGTGAAGAAAATAAACACAAATGCAACATAAAAAAAAAAGCTAACTGATTGATTAATCAAACCGAAGGTGGTTGATCAATCAAGTTGATCAAAAAAGGTCGAACGATCAATCAGGTCGATGGCGGCTGATCAGTCAGGTTGACGGAAAGGTGGTGAATCGAGGCAATCGAGGCAGTGGCGGCTGATTGATCAAGTCAATAGAATGATGTCGATCAATATGATTTGGTCGGTGGCGACTGATCGATCAGCCGCCATCGAGGTGGCTTCAACCCATTCGTCAAGTGTGAAGCCACTGAACAACCACAAGTTTACAAAGCTTTCAGCGGATTAGGTTAAGGTTGTAGTCACTCTTGGATTCGTAGGTGGGTCTTGAAAAGCTCATAACCTATGGGAGCTTCCTCTAGCACAAAAAATATCCTATCTTCTCTAACACAAAACCTAGAGGCTTACTAGGAAGAAGGAACGAAGGTTTTCAGAGTTTCTCAGTGAAGCGGTGGTTGATGATCTGTTCTCTGAGCTTATCCAAGTTCCTTCACGGCGAGGATGACAAAGCTTACACTAATCTCCTACGCTGAAGCGGTGAAGAAGCTCTCATTGCCAAAGAGGAAAAATAGGTCATCGATCTTCTCCTTCTCCAAAGATAGGAAGAAGCTTTCCTCTTCAGAATTGATTTTCGCATATGCCTTCCCGAGCTCAACTCACAAAAGGACATCAGAAGAAGAAGACGTAGGAAAGGAATAAGGAGAAGGAAAAAGAGGACGAGGAGAAGAAGCAGAAGAAGGCTTCCTAGGGTTCCTCTTGTTGAGGAAGATGAAGGCTCCCTGGAAGCATTATGCTCTCTCCCGACCTCTCATATTCTAGAGCTCGCGAAATGGTCGGATCCTTGTTGATTTGCCCAAGGAAGCTGATATCCCTTGGTTCAAGTTCAGAGATGACCCCTTTTCCTTTTTGGTGTGAGCTAAGGTAGCTCCAGATACTATTTCAAGCTTCAAATTGAACAAAAATGGCTTATCAGATAGTTAAACAGCACTACCGACAAAAATTCAGGGACTAGAGCATAAAAGGGGTGCGAATGAACTAAACTGGTGTGTCCATGCACACGCACCAACATAATTACGTCGGATGCTCTGTTTGGCTGGTGTGGCCACCCTATGGCAGGTGTGGTCACTCCCGTTGAAAAGTGTTGCGGGTGCCTTTGTTTAAGCTGGCGTGGTCACACCCAAACTAAGTGTGGTCACGCTCGTAAAAAATGGGTCGTGAATCCCTTGCAGTTTGAGCATGGTCACACCTTTTTTGGCGTAGTCACGCCAAAGGCTAGGCATGACTACACCTGTTGTAGGCCCTTAAACCTTTTTGAACTCCAAAATCCTGTCAAGCGGGTTTATGACTTGTTCGAGTTGAGAAGTCATAAATGCCTCCAAACATCATAATGATCGTCAGGCTCGCCTTATCTTGGGCAGGCCAATGTCCACCAACATTAGCCGCTTTCGAGCATGATCAGAGCAGTGCTAGCCCCTTTAGCCTGGTACAAGATGTGCTTGTTTAATTCTCTACGGATTCCTTGAGCGATGGGACATTATACAAGAACATGATATGATCCCTAGTCCCTCGAAAGGACGTCAAGTGTGTATGGCATTAAAAATGGAGGCCAACAAATGCACCTTGGTGTATGCTTTTCGTTGATGATATCCTTCTTCTGGAGAAGGCTAGAGAGAGTTCGGGAAAAAAACTTTAATTATGAAGGTCAACTTTAGAGTCTAAAGGGTTTCATTTGAGTAGATAAAAAGCTAAACACATGTAATGTAATTTTATAGAAAAAAAAATCTAGAGTTGAGGATGTAACAACGGAGTATCAAGTCACTAAAAGGGGCGAACATTTTTTATATCTCAGATTTATTGTTAATAGTGATGGTGATATAAATGGGGATGTTACTAATATAATATAAATTGGATGGTTGAAGTGAAGGAATGAATCGAGATCATTGTGTAATCGAAAAGTACCGCTTAGACTTAGTTCCAATAGCCAACATGATTAGAGCCGTTTTAGATGATTTAATCACATCAAACGTCGATCATCCGATGACCCCGATAAGGAGTACATATTTTAGATTTAGCTTGTGTTATAAAGGAAAGCACACCTAAAAAGACTTGAGCATAGTGTATAAAAAATTACCTTAATTTACTAAAATTAAATGAAAATATGACACTTAATAGATCATAATGGAGAAAAAGGATTTACATAACCAACCCCACTTAAAGGCTTGTCCTTGTATTACTCTTAGAGAATATTGTTTTCAATTAATTTAGATTATCAAATAGAATAAAGTTTATTACCCTTCTTCTATTAAGCTTTAAGAAATTTGCATCTTATTTATTTTAGAAAATGCGTTAAGTCATACATTTCGCATAAGAAACTAATGCCATATCTAATATTAAAAAAAACACTAATATTATACTTAAAAAGTAGGCATTATGCCTATTTTTATCAACTTTAATCCACAATTCTTAGCAAGTAATACACACAATTAAGATGGGAGAAGCAAAATAATAATAATAAATTAAAATATATGAAAAATGCCAAAGTAAAATCTCGAGTAAACCAAAGGGGGACATTATAATAAGATCTGATGAATGCAATGCACAACGCTCCAGATGCTTGCCCAATACCAGCAGACAGAAAAGGAGGCATCATTCCAAAGGAAAAGGCCGATATTTTAGACGAGCTAAAAAGTCCTTTTTTCTTTATTAAAATCATGTTTTGTTTTCCCATTATATTTTTATTCCAAGCAAAAAAAAATAACAAAATAAATAGAATTAGCAAGATATTTTCTTTTTTCAACACAAACTCATAAAAATTTTATAAGAATTTGAACTTGGGTGCTTAGAAAATTTATAAAGTTGAATGATAGAGCTTTTAGTGTTTGAAAGTGCTCCTAAAAGAGAGCAGCACAGTTGCTACAAGGAAAAAACATTCATGGCAGAATTGACAATGATGGAGAAAGAGAAACTGAACATGGAAACTGATCAAACAAAACCAACTTCGCTGGTCACAAGAAAAATGATTGTTCCTGCCAACCATGGCTTGCTCACATGTACAGATGGAAACTTATTCCAGAGGACTGGGGAAGGGGAACAGTATTTGATGGAATGGCATACAGATAATTTTAGCAAGAAAAAAAATATAAGTACAGTAAATGAAGGAGAACAGTATTTTAATGGAATAGTGCACAGTATTAAACATTATCATAGAAGCAAACAGGCCATTTACACAAAAAAAAACACCAATGAGGAACACAGGAGCTGACAAATTTGGCATCTTTTTGGGCAACTAAGGATGCTAGTTGGAAGTTTCAGGGCTACATATGAAACAAAAATTTTAAAAAAAAAACACTAAAATACATAGTTAGACACAAACTAACTTGTACCCTTGAACTTCTCAGTTTCGGGAGAGAACTTTAAAGCCATATGATTTCAATTGGAGTTCCATAGTATCAGCTGTTGCAATGCTAGTCCTGATTTTTGCTCTTCTCAATGGCTCTTGGAGCTGTAAGAAAACAGATCAAAATCTTGAAAAAAAGTTTTCGAAGATCATAGAAAACATCTAAGCAAAATAATTTACAATTTCAGAAAACATGAACTGTAAAGGTGAAAACAGATGTTCCAGAACATAAAAAAGTATAATAATGAAGGCAAACCAAAAGAATCTAAAGCTCATTAATAATTATCGAACTGGTATGCATTTTTAGATTAGTTACAGTAAATTTGATGATATTAACGTAAAACATTTTGTAATGCCGAAGTCAAGCATAAATACATATGGTTTGTTATTTCTCAGAAAACAGACTCGAGCATCCTAAGAAGCCAGTTATTTCCATTGGCCATAATACTTATTTAAGAAACATACCAAGTCCAATTGCATCTGAGCCCTTCATAATTCTCAATCTTTTGCAGGAATCAATGAACATCCTGAAATTCACACAACAAAATAAAAAATCAATAATAAATTGTATACTCAGCAAACTATATATGATGGCTAGCACAGTCTGGAACAATTTGAGTCCTATCTATAGAAGAAGAAAAGCTAACAAAATTATTATTTCCTAAAGCAAAGCAAAGCAAAAGTAACTTATTAACGAGGACAAACGAATCCGGAAGCTTGGAGCATAAAAATTTATCTTTAACTGCTCCTCTGCGTACCTAAAGACTATTATACAGTCATAATTTTCTTTTGGCAAAAGAAATCTAAGAGTTTATAAATAAATGTACTAATAATCTTTAGTTAGTTTATCATGTAAGCCACAACCAAAGATTCATACCAAGAGTAACGTGAACTTACTCCCATGGAACATCACCTACGAGCATCCAATCACCATCCTTGTCTTCATATGTGAGCACATACTCTGAGCCATTAAGAACACCTGCCAAATAGCTTTCACTCCGCCCAACCTGAGATGCGTACTGGCCTGAAACAACACAATTCATAAAGTAGAGTAAGCTCCTCAGTGTAGTACAGATTTACTAGAAGGTAAATCCAACCAAAGAGGTATCAAAAAGAGAATTAGCGCTCAATTCATTAAGTTCCAAAAATTAAAGAGCTATCTTTAGTCTTCATTGAGTGAATCTAAGTTGCAAAGTCAAACTTGCAACCAAAATTAAGGTTGAAGTTGTGTAATCATTGCTGGATACCATATAAAATATACTAATACATAGGGCTGTCAAAAAAGCTCGTTGTTCGCGAACAGTTCGTGTTCGGTTCGTCAATGAGTTCGTGTTCGGTTCGTTCGATAAGTAAACGAGACAAACACGAACAAATTTTTTTCGTTCGGTTAGTTAAACGAACCAAATACGAACAGTGATGCGTTCGTTCGTGTTCGAATCGTTATTGTTTGAAATATAAAATAATATAAAATAATTATATATAAAAAATTTATTATATTTTAAAACATTAAATTTTATAAATTATAATATATAATAAAATAATAATAATAATATATTAATATACTATAGTAGTAATATACTAATATAGATATTGTATATTTATATAATATAAGTTATATAATTAATATATAATATTATTTTTATATATTAATATTAGGGATGTCAAACTGGCTCGTCGTTCGCGAACAGCTCGCGTTCGGTTCGTGTTCGACTCGTTCGTTAAGAAACGAACACGAGCTTATTTCAAACAAACTAAATTTTAAACGAACCGAACACGAACACAAGCTTTGTTCGTTCGTGTTCGGTTCGTTTACACCCCTACTAATACAAGCGAAGGTACAGTGGAAGTGCAATAAATGTTTCTTAGATTGACTAAACATCACATTCATTGATACTTTCTTATTTATTCAGGTGCAATGGGATTAAGCTTTGTGTCAATTAGTGTAATACAGAATTTTAATTAAACCAAACCACAACCCATTAATTATGCACGCATCCCCCAATTAAATGACAAACACAAGGAAAAAGTAGACATAAAGGCGCATTCTACCCTTATCCCCGACCTTATGATTCTTAAGAATCGTTAGTAAATATCAGAGAGCTCACCAATGGTGAATCCACTGAACATCTGCTCAAGAGCTGTAGAGAGATCCTTATAGTTGCAGTGAGTCTTCAGGTCAACTTTCCTCAAGTAGGGAGCTCCGTCCATGCTAACCTTGACGTAGAGGAATCCTCCATTTGCATCACCTCTGTTCTTGGATGGGCTTGTGGCCATAGTGTTCTTGCGGTGGCTGCGGATTGGTGGCCAACCTACAACCTGCGCCCTGTAAACAAATTATAGAAATTAAGACATCTTACCTTTAGCCTAAGCTGTATAGTGGATCTAAAAACGAGTAGCAATAAATTAAAATAAAAAATGAAGGAAAAAAGGTTAAGGAAAACTGAGAGAATGGTAATTTAAAAAAAAAAAAAAATTGGGGATGAAATAGAGGGGTAAAAACCAAAAAGCATTAAAATGGAAAACAATTGAAGGAAGGATAGTAATACAGGATTGCACTAGAATGAAGACTTATTGAAGTTAACTTAGCAAAAAAAAAAAAAAAAAAACCTTATTTACTAACAGATCGCAAGGAATTCCTTTCTATTTCAGAACACAAAAAATATCATCTTACTTGATAGAAAAACAAAAAAAATAAAAAACCTTGTAGTTCAAAAGAAGTGTCTAGCATCCTGATTTAATCTTAGCTAGAGTATTCCATCTTAATTATTTCCCCTTGATAATTGGTCAAACCATACAGAAAATCTACGTGCATCATTTATGGAACAACGTCAAAAAAGAAACTGAAAGAGTCAAATCCTCAGTACTAATAACTGATTCTTCATCTCCTTTTCCCCAAAGTCTTCAAGCAAATGAATTGAGATTAAACATCAAACAAACGATGAGGTAATGAGCAGTAAAACTGAACAAAGATCATAGAGATGGAAAAAAAAAGGCTAATCATTTATAAATTCTAGCACTAGAAAGCTCATAATTTCAGGAAAAAAAAAACTTCCTATTACATCAAAAAAAAAAGGGGGCGACAGAGAAAACAAGAAGTAAACCCTTAATATTTTTTCTCTCGATTCCCTTCAGGAAGAGCAACGGCAGAACAACAATCATCCTGTTGATAAATGTCACGAAATAGGGACAATATTCATAATATATCTCATCGATTTCCCACACAGAAAGCTGGATGTCTGTTTCCTAATTACTAAGGAAACCATCCTCAAGGAAGACCCCAAGCAAGCATTAAACAGAAGGAAAGTAAACCCTGATTTCAAGCTCCTGAACTTACTTCGAAGCAGATGGCCCTTGAATCTTCTTCTCCTGCACCTGCATGGCCTTTCCAGAAACCTCACTTCCACTGCCACCGCAAGCCCTAGGAGAGAACAAGGTGCCACCTTTCTCCATTTCCACCTCCGATCCACCCCTCCCAGAGAAACCCCACTTAACGTTTCCATCAATCGCGTCAGAGAAAACCCTCTTTGCACCGGCAGCGAAGCTCTTGGGCTGCTGTAAGCCGAGAGAAAGTCCCGCCTTCTCCTTGCGCATCGAAGACTCAGAACCCGGAAGCCCTAGTCGGAGCTCCGTCCCCCGGAGGTTCTCCTCATCGCCGTCTGCAAGCCTGTAGGAGGAACTCTCAAGGGACAAGCAGACTTCCGATCGTCCAATGTAGTCGTGCTCAAGCAGCGGGGTCATTACTCTTGCACTGGAATTTCAGAGAACATGAAGCTCGCGCTCTGAGAACAAGCAAAGAAGGAGAGGCAATGGAAAGTGAGAGCTTTGGAGCTGGATTTTGAGGCCAGAGAAACCTCCTCTAATTCTCATTTTCTCTGATGTATTGTAAATGTAGCACAAGCTCCTCTGTCTCACCCGGTGACTAGCCCTTGCTCCCCTCTAATTGTACTAAAATTTTCTTTTTTTTTGCTTCTTGAATTTTTGACAGTTACAATCGTAGCCTAAGAGCGTCCATGGAATCATATTTTAAGGTCCAAAGTTTGGTTTTTGTAAGGATGCGCAAAAATTTGTAAAATGTCATTCGAAAATGTAAATTTAGAGATATAACAAGTCATCTAACAAATGGGCTACGGTGTCAACAAAAAAAAAAAGAAATTTGATTTGATCGTGTTTCCCTAGTCACCCAAAAAAAATTATTTGATCATGTTTCTCTATAGTCAAATTCAACATTATTCTAACTCCAATCTCAACAACTTATAGCGATTACAATATGTATCCAAATGAGTTTTATTCAAGCATTTAAAGTGTAATTACATAATTCAAGATATTAATTTAATAGTTCAATGATCTCTAAGAATCTGCGTGGGGTAGCTGCAATTAATTAAAAAATTATTGTGTGATATTTGTGACAGGAAGCCGCTGCAGAGAAGCTGACCGTCTGTTTGTTTTTTTGTAATTTTGAAACATGGGATGCAACTATTTCTGAACAAATGATTTTTCTGCCCCTATACCATAGTGTCGTTTATAACAGAACTATTCATACTAGCATATTCTAAACTTAAAAGAAAACATTCAATTTGAATGTTACAAAATTAAAGCAGACACCTTACAAAACTGTGATTCACATGACAATCAAAATTAAAAAAAGGACTATTAAAATAAAAATTAATAACATGATAATTTTGTTTTTTAAAATGTACTTGGTTTATGTCACGTGATAAGCCATCCTCCAAGGATGCTCGCCACGCCCGATCACTATCGGTGGTTGATTCCTCTAACCCATCTGTTCACCTAAAAAAGTCACAGCTTTTTGTTCTACTCCTCGAACACATGTAAAGCTATCTACCTAAGCTATGTGAATGTCGAGAAGTAAGCAGAGAACATTGTAGTACATAGTAGCAGTACATTGCTCTAGAGGTACCAGAAGTCCTTGAGCTCATCTTTTCTGAAGTTTTAAAACAACAAAGCACAAATCCTTAGATGCAATATTAGTAAAAAAAATATTATAATTAATCAATGAAATTTTTACTAAACTGTGAGATCTTAGAGAACATACAATAAACAAACAAATCTTTTACTATAAGAAGACAAAAAAATCTTGTTTGGTGTCCTACAAGCAACTCCCCAACCCATTTATCACCAAGAAAAGATGATGTCATGTAAGGAGATCGAGTTATGTATGAGTTATAGTACTCATATATCAAACACCCCACAACTGCAATTCTTTTTCTGCGTTTCTCTCTTTGTGAATCCATGTTAGACATCGCTCTATTCAGGTAGCACATATAAGAATCACCAAATTTGATACTATCACAACATTATTTAATCAAGCAACAATCATAAATAAACTTGGAAAAGCAAATAACAAATTTTACGATGAATAAACAAACATCTAAAGCAGCATTAATAGTGTTTCAATAAAAAAGAACTATCCAAAGCAAAAGTCAAACTCTCTTAATAAAAAACATATACGAAGAGTCCAATGAGAAATAATGACGTTCAGGCATCCTTGTTGTCATAGAAATAATGTAAATAATTAATCCTATGGTCAGGGGTTATTGTCATAAGAACTCTCTACGGGTTGGGTCTTCCAGCAAATTAATGTATAACAAATATAATGGTGTGTCCTCATAAATCTCTAGAGTTCCCTCCAAAAGTCACATAACTTGTTGGATGGAAGTTGCTTGTGATGTCCCAGAGCCATTAGAGCGTGAAACAACCAGTTGTGAAATTTGGCTTCTAATGAAAGCAACCCCTTCTTTTTTCTTTTTGTCAACCCTTGAGTGGATTGAACTTCATTGAGATTTGGGTCAGGGCCTTCGTTGGAGTCACTTGCTTGTTCGACATCCAAGTTCTATGTTATGTCTGCAAACCCTTGCTCACTAAGGGCACATGCATGGTCACCTGTTGTCACAATGACCAAATATACGATCCAACTTTTCTTCCAGCTCAGAGTCAATACTATTGAATTCGAATTTTTTTTTGTAGTCAGCACCACCAACTTCGCACCAAACAGCCTTTTCAACAACACACAACACCACCTCCGTACCACATACCACACCACACCACCATCCTACGAGAAATTATTCAGTCCAGAAATCACACGCAGACTCGCATGCAGTCTCCAATTAAAAACCAGCATGTGGAATTGCGGGGCCCAACACCAAAATAATGAAAATAATAGCTTTTTGCTGCGCGGCCAGGCCCGAGCCCTGCCCAAGCATCCAAAAAGTGTCTTTTTGTCATTTTCAGATCTCGTCAATTCGCATAGAGTATTCTTTTTTCTCATTTTGGATCACGCCAAATTGGGAAAAGCCTAGTTCGACTCATTCTGGTTTAAGATTTAAGAATTTTTGTCATTTGCTTTCTTTTTGCATTTGTGTTCGTATTCAACAGCTAGGGTTAAGGGACCCGATGGAATTCTCTTTCGACCAGGAAATGTTGATGAAATCTCAAAATAATTGCGAGAATGATGCTAATGAGGTGAGCTTATTAGTTACGGCTGGAAGTATTCGACAGATGAGCTTATTACTCTGTATTTGCTTGTGTTATTCTTGTCGTCCTATTGATAGTTTTGTTGTGTTATTCTGGTTTTATTACTATATTATTTGTTTGTAACATTACCGTTATGTTGGAGGGGGGACGTGGTGTTAGTTAGGTATTATCATGGCGTTATAGTTGTAGTATTGGTTCTAATTACCCGATTTTGTTGGAGTTTTAAGTTGGCTTTTAATGGTATTATCCTTGTGGTATTGTGGTGTTTTTTGTCTATATTTTTGGTTTATAAAGGTAATTGGGTGTTATTTAGGTTTTATCATGAGGTTATACTAGTGTTATTGGATATAATTAATGGTTTTATTGGAGTGTTATTTTGTCATTATAAATAGTGTTATTTGGGTGTTATTATGGTGATATTATGGTTTTAGTTATGTATTATTGGCTTTGAACAATACATTTGTGTTGGAGCGGGGAATTGGTGATATGTAGGTATTTTCATAGTTTTATACTAAGTCTTATTGGATCTATTGATTGGTTTTGTTAGAGCGTTATTTTTGTCATTCCAATGGTGGTATGTTAAAATTTGTAGTTCCCCGAGCCTGTAAGTGTGTGCATTGATTCAATTGCGGAGAGCTTGCTTCGTGTAGTTGTCCATAATGAGAAGGAAGCCTATGAAAAATATTGTGCATATGCACATCAAATTGGATTTACTGTGCAAAATGACCACATTGGTTTTCTCACGATCCTTCTGAGTAAGACCTCTGGAGGGAGGCTGTCAGCGGGAAGAAGAAGGTCAGGATCTACGGGTCGAGTTCCCAGACACTGTCCTATGATGTCTTTCCGACCTCTAATACATATTGTGCATCCAATTCCACTTCACTGGAGGAGGAGATGTGTCGGCATGTTGTTGTTGAGGTTGTTGCGCTAGCGTCGCTGAGATCAAAGATGAGAGCAGAGATGGAAGTAGTGTTGTGTTTAGATCTGTAGAAAGGGAAGTAGTCAGTGCAGGACGATGGTGGGGATCATGATGATGTGGATTGAACATAAGATGATGAGGAGGATGAGTTGGGGGATTTTTTTGTTTGGTTATGTATTGAACAATTTATTATTAGCAAACATTAGTTTGATTGTGAAGTTGTACATTTCGTTTGTTTTAATTCAACTATTTTTCTTTTATTTATGTGTATGATTTATGTGTTAATTAGTTTTGTTACAGTGTTATGCTTTGTTTTGAGTGATCTGTTACTATTGTAGGTGTGTATATTCTAGTGTTGAAAGAGAGCTTCTTGTTTTTTTTTTTTTTGTGATGGTACAAGTTTTCGAAGGCTTATCAATAATTTTATGATGGTTTATTAAACAAGCGATGGTTTTCCGACGACCTATTGAACAAGCGACATATGGACAAAGTTTTGCACTTTTGCTACAAACAAATTCATCGGTAAATTCCCATGGTTAACTACTATTTGGCGATAGTTTATCGACCGAACCACGACACTTATCTAACAGAACAACGACACTTTTTCTACTGACATTTTCGTTAGTTATATAATTGAAGGTCAAGCTATGGTTAAATATGACATGTTTTTGAATCAATAGGGATGCTTATGGTATGTAGCTTAACCGTCGGTTATTTTAAACCGTAATTTAATTATCGACAAGCCTTTTTGCTACATCAACTTTGTTGTAACTAAACCGGTGGTAAATATATTACCAACGGTTTATTTGTTATTACCTACAACATTTGACAATTGATAATAAGCTAAATTCTTGTAGTGATTCTTTCTGTCATTGCTTACCATACCCGACCATAACCTTCATTGTTTCCCCCATTTCCCACTTATTCCAAACTCTAAATTTCATATCCTTCATAATATATATATATATTAAAATAAAACTTCATAAAAAAAACATCAAACTTTTTTAAGAAAAATTTGAAACACAAATTTCTTTTTAAATAAAACTTGAACATAACTTTTCAAAATAATTAAATCTTAAAACAATTTTTTATATAAAAATCTAAAAAATGTTTTAAAGAAATAAAAATTGAATAAAACTAAACAAAGTAAAACCTAAATGAAGATTTTTCAAAACAAAATATAAATACTTTTCAAAACCTAAATAAAACCTTCCTTAACAAAACCTAAAAATGTCATTTTCAAAAAGTAAACCTAATCATTTCCTAAACAAACCAAAGCAAAAATCCTTTCAAAATAGAACTTAAATGAGATATTTCCAAAACCAAAACTTAAACAAGATCCCTTGCAGAACAAGAATAAAATTTTGTAAATTTTAACTCAAACTTTAAAATAAGATCTTCAGACAGGTTTTTTCCAAAATAAATGAATAAATAAATGAACAAAGATTAAATAAAAACTTTTCAATCCTAAAGATAACCTCCTTCAAATTAAGTTAAAAACTCTTCAAAATAAAATAATCTAAAAACTATATCCTACTCAAGCTTAAATTAAATTAAGCCCATCTTTTCAAATGTAT